CAAAACCCCAAAACCCCAAAACCCCAAAACCCCAAAACCCCAAAACCCCTTTAGAAAATGATTTGAATATTTGTGGAAATCTAGAAAATCTTTAAATTTCGATAGATTTTTCTAGAAAACAGAATTTCGGGATATATAAACCCGAGATTTAATAATTATTTAACTTTTAATAAACCAACTTTCTAGAAAAACTTTTCATAAACCAATCCAACAAAAATATCAACATGTCAGAAGAGGTCTTTGCATTCAATGCAGATATCCAACAACTAATGAGTTTGATCATCAACACCTTCTACTCTAACAAGGAGATCTTTTTAAGAGAGCTGATCTCAAATGCCTCAGATGCACTTGATAAGATCAGATACAAGTCCATTACGGAGCCTGAGCAACTTGAAACCGAGCCTCACCTTGGTATTAAACTGATTCCAGACAAGTCAAACAACACCCTCACAATCTTGGATACCGGTATCGGTATGACTAAAGCTGATTTGATCAACAACTTGGGTACTATTGCCAGATCTGGCACCAAAGCCTTCATGGAAGCAATTTCTGCTGGTGCTGACATCTCCATGATTGGTCAATTTGGAGTAGGCTTCTACTCTGCTTATTTGGTGGCTGAAAAAGTAATTGTGATATCTAAGAACAATGAAGATGAACAATACAGATGGGAGTCTAATGCAGGCGGTACTTTTTCAGTGGTTAAGGATGAGTCTGTAGAAAAACTCAACAGAGGCACAAAGATCATCTTGCAAATGAAGGAGGATTAACTTGAGTACCTCGAGGAAAGAAAGCTCAAAGACCTGGTCAAGAAGCATTCTGAATTCATTGGCTTTACTATTGAACTTCTGGTAGAAAAATCTAAAGATAAAGAGGTCACTGAATCAGATGATGAGGCAGAGGTTGAGAAGAAAGATGAAGAGATGAAGGAAGGAGATGAGCCTAAGATTGAAGAAGAAACTGAGAAGAAAGATAAGAAGAAGGACAAAAAGAAGAAAAAGATCAAGGAGGTCACCCATGAATATGAACAACTCAACAAGACCAAGCCCATTTGGATGAGAAAACCTGAAGATGTATCAAAGGAAGAGTACGCTTCTTTCTACAAGAGTCTTTCTAATGACTGGGAAGACCATCTTGCAGTCAAGCACTTCTCTGTTGAGGGTTAACTAGAGTTCAAAGCTCTGCTATTTGTACCAAAGAGAGCTCCATTCGATCTATTTGAGACTAAAAAGAAGAAGAATAATATCAAGTTGTATGTTAGAAGAGTCTTCATAATGGACGACTGTGAGGAATTAATCCCAGAGTGGCTTGGCTTTGTCAAAGGTGTAGTTGATTCAGAGGACCTGCCTTTGAATATTTCTAGAGAGACCCTGCAACAGAACAAGATCCTTAAAGTTATAAAGAAGAATATAGTTAAGAAGTGCCTTGAGATGTTCGCTGAGCTACAAGAAAACCAAGAAGACTACAAAAAGTTCTATGAGTAGTTCTCCAAGAACCTCAAGCTTGGTATCCATGAAGATTCAACCAACAGACAAAAGATATCAGAGCTACTCAGATTCCACACATCAAAGAGCAATGAAGACCAGATGTCATTCAAGGAGTATGTGTAGAGAATGAAGGAGGGGCAGAAGGACATCTTCTATATTACAGGAGAGTCAAGAGCAGCAGTGTCTAGCTCACCATTCCTTGAGGGTCTAAAGAAGAGAGGCTATGAAGTACTTTATCTTGTTGATCCCATTGATGAATATATGGTACAGTAATTGAAGGACTATGATGGAAAGAAATTGAAATCCTGCACAAAGGAGGGGCTTGACTTGGAGGATACTGAGGAAGAGAAGAAGAAAAAGGAGGAATAAAAAGCCAAGTTTGAACCACTCTGCAAAGTAATGAAGGATGTGCTGGGAGACAAGATTGAGAAGGTTGTGGTTAGCACTAGAATTGATGAATCACCTTGTGTTCTTGTGACTGGAGAGTATGGCTGGACTGCCAACATGGAGAGAATTATGAAGGCACAGGCACTTAGAGACTCCTCAATGACTTCATACATGGTTTCAAAGAAGACTATGGAAATCAACCCTAACAATCCAATCATTGATGAGCTGAGAAAGAAGGCTGAAGTAGACTAAGCTGACAAGACTGTCAAGGATTTGATCTGGCTGCTCTTTGATACTTCTCTCTTAGTCAGTGGATTCTCACTGGACGAGCCAAACACCTTTGCTGGTCGCATTCACAGAATGATCAAACTTGGTCTCTCGATCTTTGAGGAGGAGACAAAGGAAGATGAATTGCCACCACTTCTGGAAAGTGAAGCTCAACCTGAGTCAAACAAGATGGAAGAGGTTGATTGAGATTGATCATCTTCAACTTCCTGTGATTCATCTTTAGTATAAATAAAGCATTCTTAATAGTCAAAATTAAATAATAATAGCATTAATTTTATTAAGATTTAACTTTAACGAATATTCTATTTAGATACGCCTGGGGTTTTGGGGTTTTGGGG